TATAACTTGAATTTACACGTATTATAATCAATATATTTTATAACTTGAATTTACACGTATTATAATCAATATATTTTATAACTTGAATTTACACGTATTATAATCAATATATTTTATAACTTGAATTTAGACGTATTATAATCAATATATTTTATAACTTGAATTTACACGTATTATAAACAATATATTTTATAACATGAATTTACATGTATTATAATCAATATATTTTATAACTTGAATTTACACGTATTATAATCAATATATTTTATAACTTGAATTTAGACGTATTATAATCAATATATTTTATAACTTGAATTTACATGTATTATCAATATATTTTATAACTTGAATTTATGTATATTATAATCAATATATTTTATAACTTGAATTTATGTATAATATAATAATTTATAATAAGTGTACTTTATTGCTCTAAGGTCTAGAGCATCTTGTCCCACAGCAGTCAGTGAAACTAAAGATTATAACAGGCCGTTGGGATAACTCCGGAAAACCGGTAGGGGAACGATCTTTTAACATTGACTTGCCATTTGGGAGCATAAACAAAGACAATGTGTTAAGTAAAGTACGTGAACTGCTACCACAGGCAGATCTTTACACTTCTTCAGGAGCACCTATACCTGATAAAGTTTTTAACAAAGGTAAAATTATAATTATGATGCACGATATGACATCATTTGTTATCGGTTATAATAAGGTATACTTCAATATTTCATACTTATAAGATTGTCCTACGTGGAAGTTGGAATGTATTGTTTCTGTGTATGATAATAACTGAGAATTTTTGGTTGTAAAATTAAAGTTTTGCTAACTAGTTTTAATTTGTGTTTTCTGTGTATACTTGCCCTACTAAACTGTTGTATGCAGACAGACCAAGCGTGCTTATGTGAAGGCCTTAAAATGTACCTTTGCCCCACTCGGGTTGGATGGTCTCGGTAACTTCCTCATGGGTGTTGGATTTACTAGATGACTGTCTCAAAAGGCCCGGCATGGCCGGGTGGTTAGGGTGCTCGACTCGCAATCTGTGGGTCGCGGGTTTGAATCCCCATCCCACCAAACATGCTCGCCCTTTCAGCCGTGGGGGCATTATAATGTGCAGTCAATCCCAATATTCGTTGGTAAAAAAGTAGCCCAAGAGTTGGCGGTGGGTGGTGATGACTAGTTGCCTTCCATCTAGTCTTACACTACTAAATTAGGGATGGCTAGTGCAGATAGCCCTTGTGTAGCTATGCACGAAATCCAAAAAACAAACTGTCTCAAGTTCCTCTAGGTTCTTGCTACTGTCTGATATTTAGATTTATGTATTTGATAAACTCAAGCCATTTTATATATAAATCCCAAGGTAAAAATTAAAGATTGGAGCCTGATGGTGAAGTTATTGAATGTCATAGAATATTGATTTGGTAAGATTTCTGGAAGACATAAGATTAAAATTAATTTTTTTTTATAGTAGTATATTTATTCAGAATGATTTTTGTTTTATTTTTACATTATTGGGATATATACATCCAATCTCACAACCTCTTGTTCTTCATGAAATTAAAGTACATAACCTTAAATGAGCTTGTTCAAGAGGTAACCATTTAACTACTGTCCATTAGCCTTTTTCAGAGATAATTGTCACTGAGTAAAAGAAGACATTTGGTTCCGTAGCACAGATCTTCATCAGTTCCTGTGTTCACAGAATGGAACACGGGTTCTCTAGTTTTAAACTATGTGGATTAAGTCTGCTAAGATATTTCAATTAAATGTTATAAATTTTTATGTGATACGAGTTGTATGACTTTTGTCGAAGGTAAATGTACAGTTTATTAGGATTTTACTTTCTTCATGCATTGTATTTGGTTTTTGTTCTAACTCAATAAATCCTGGGCACCAGGTTGCAGTAGCAACTATAAATTTCATCATGTTGCCTATTATTTTCTCCCATTTTATTTGTGCGTAGGGCTGTGCTAAACAGAACTCGATTCTAGAACAGTTCTGGACTCTTGGAAGTGCAGGACTATTTTCGCATTCTTTGAGTCCTAAATCAAACTTTGTTTTTAGGATTTTAGTGGTGGATCCAGCAAGTTTATTCGGGAATGAAACACTGCGGTTGCACAACATGCTACTAACTTTGCACCATTTTGTTTTTCTTCTTTCTCTCAATTCAACCGATCAGTGTGCGTGTTTAGACTCGGACAGGACCAAAGGCGGTTAGTTCAGCTAATACTATCAAGTGGTTGTTGATATCACGTGATCATTAGCATGCACTTGTTGCTGTAAAAGTAAATAAATATACAGTAGCCCCCATTTCCCTGTAAAAACAATAGTGAAGTTAGGTTAGGCTTACCTGGCTCCTGAGTTTTGGGGCTGGCTCCTAGATCTGAAAATATTTGTCGAGGCCTCCTCTAAAGCCACTTCACATTGCTTGGCTCACTTGTCATTTACTAGATTAATATAGCTTGCAAAAAAAATTAATGTTTGACTTAAGTCACATCTAAGTTTTTAAGTGATAAGACTAGAAAAATCACAGGTGTTAAGCCTAACTTGTCCTTCTGAAATTCCCGATTTAAAAAATGAACTTTCAGTCAAGATGTAAATAAAGCTTATAGTTGTAAACACGTAGTGGGTTTTCTTGTTCTTCAAAACAAAGTTGTTGTTCTTTTTAGTTTTTCTCCATCTAAAAATAAATATAGATAGACTTTGAGTTTAATTATTCATCCCATAAATTTAGTTTAAAAATGTTTGTATTTTTTGTGTATCTATTGCCTATAGGTAAAAAGGAAGTGTTGACTGAATGCTGCAAAGTAGCTAACATACCAGCATTTTGTTCTTTGTTTTGTTTTCTCTCCGTATTTGTTAAAATACTAAACAACAACTATAGCATGTTATTTGACGTCAGTGTGAAAAGTTTAGTGTTGTAAAGATGAAGACATTGTAACAGAGGTTGACTATGTTTTTTCAACACATATTACTGAACCATTAATTATGTTATAAATCAAGTACTTGAATGCTTTTAGAAAAATGGATATGTAACTCTTAAAGTATTTTTTTCACCTCAGGAAGTTGGTTGCGAGCAACACAGTTAGGAAATGTTTTTGCCTTGGAACCTAACGTACCTGTTCGAAAGAGACTGCACGAAAATCAAACAGACGAAGATGGCAGCAACTGTTTTAAAAAAAATTGTGGTGTTGAACACAAGGCTCCTCAGGATCTAAGTAGCCTCATTAAAGACACTTTTGAATGTAGGATTTGTTTAAGGTCCCCCATGTCACCTCCAGCAGCTTTTCAGTCATGCTGCCAGATTATTCTTGGGTGTATGACTTGTGCTCAGTCTTTTTATGGAGAAAACAAAGAAAAATGCTGTCCTCACTGTCAAAAGAAAAGTGGCCGTTCCAATCTGCTTCAAGTGAAAGGACTTGACGACTTCCTCCATAAAACTGGGCACTTGGAAGACATTAATTAGCTTAGGTAACACAAAAGTGTCATCTTTATTAAAATGTAAGTTCGAAAAACTGTATAATTTCTTCATTATTTACTATGCTTGAAAGTTATGTAGTTTATCATGAAATCCTTCCAAAAAAAAATAACTGCTGATATAATTGTTTTCAAGTGGAGTTTTGATCATGACTGAATTTTTTGTGTGTCGAGCTACGTTGTTCACGTTAAAGCACCTTCATAAATGAATGACAGCGGGTAAAAAAATTAGGTAATACCTGTTTTCATTGTAAACCTAGAACTACACCAAAACTAGTTTTAATGAAAGAAAAATTCTTGCTACGTATGGATTATGTTCAGATAGGTTGAGTGCATTGTTAAGTTATGGGTCCACTAAAGAACAATAGGAGAAATATCCTTGTGTAAAAAAATGAGTGCAAGGAAGAGGAAGGTTAAATTGATGTATTCCAAGTCAGTTTATTTGGGCACACATTTATCATCGTGAAATTGGGTTTTTTAACTAAATTGTATCGCCGAATGAAATTAATTTGGTTTCAATTGTGATTTGTATGAGTATTTATATTTTTCCAGGTATGAAACATTGAAGGTGATAGTTTCTTCTGAATTATAAATATTCAGCGACAAAATCGAATTAAGTTCAAGCATTCTGTAAAGAAGTTTTGATAATGGTATTTTGTAGTATAGTGTCCAAGCTTTTTCAGCTTAATTTCACCATAGTGTGCATGTTTGTCAAATCTATAAGGTATTTCTGATAAAGAAGATAAAGCATACCGCTGAAGTGACATTCTCAACGGACAGCTGTTATTTTTACCCCTTGAGTTAGATTCTGCAACGTTGCATATGATGCATTTTGAGAGCAGAAGAGTACATTTGATATATATGGTGTGTGTTAATAGCTTAACACTTCCGTTTTGTAAATGCATAACACTTACTAGATGTGATTGCTATCTATTTTAATATTTAGAAACCATATTTGATATGTATAAAAGAGGTCAAAAGTATAACTATAACACCGAATTGCAAATACCAAGGAGTTATGAGGTATACTTCTGTAGAAAAAAAAGGGGTGTTCTGTATCATTTTTTATTTATGTGGTATGGATAAAATGTTTCATCTTGTATGTATTCCTGGAGATTTCAGTGATGTGGTAGTCATATGATTTTTTTTTTGTGGACATTTAATGTTCGGTTATGTATTGGACTGTAGTAATGCATAGGTGTTCTCCATTTATAAGAAAAATGTCTTTTAAGCGATATACTTTTGTGCCACCTGCTGGGATGCATTAGTTAGTATTGTTTACTCTTGTAACTTGAACGAAGAAGTAAGTAATTAAGCACAAAACTTCCAACTGTGTATATGCTTCGTTGAAAAAAAAAAAGATTGCTCTTTTCCACAGGTCTTTTGTATTATAAAATTGCTGTTTATACTTTCAGCGTAACTTTGCCGGGTGTTGTCTGATAGACATGTAACTAGTACTGAGCTGTCAATTAGAAAAATAAATATCGGAAAAAAACTTTCAAAAAAGCAAGAATCTAAAAGTACCTACATAAGAAACTCCTGTTCACTAATGGTCTTTTTTTTTAATCTCTTCAAAGTGTTCATTTACAGAGAAGTGGACCAAAACAATAGACTGCTAAAAGTTTCTTTCACTCGCCCGATAAATCAAGCCAGAATAGAGTGTTGTAAGTGACAGAAAAAATATCTGCCATTACTGTAAGTGCCATTCACAAATTTGTTTGTGTAAATAAAATAAATGTTTGTAACAGTTGGTGAAGTTTATGTAGAATTTCACTTATTAAAGTATGAACTTTCTGAAGCAGAATGATCTCTTATCTTTCTGAATAAACTAGCTATATATATTGTCTACGTGTTTCAGTTATTCATTCGTTCTATACGTGAGAAAACGTAGAAACCTTTATAAATAAACTAGTTGTCGAATGTCGCAGCAAGTCAACAGTTACGTATCACTTTGTTAGGATTTTTCATAAATTTGGAGATGGTCCTGTAACTGACCCGGCATGGCAAGGTGATTAGGGTGCTCGACTTGCAATCTGAGGGTTGCGGGTTTAGAATCCCACCAAACATATTCAGCCTTTCAGCCATGGAGGTGTTATAATGTGACGGTGAATCCCACTATTTGTTGGTAAAAGAGTAGCCCAAGAGTTAGCGGTGGGTGATGACGACTAGCTGCCTTCCCTGTAGTCTTTCACTGCTAAATTGGGAATGGCTTATGCAGATAGCATTTGTTTAGTTTTGTGCAAAATTAAAAAACAAACAAACCAAGTCCTGAGAAAAATTATATTAATAACATATTTCTAATTTATTATCACACGCAGATGAAATTCTGAATACAAAATAAAAAATGCTAGACTAAAGAGCTCTAAAATCTTAGGTGAGGAGGAGTATCATCTGTGTTATGTCTTGTCTCACACTGAAGGAAGAAAGGGGAGATGGTATTCCATCATATTTAGGTAATTGTTATTATTATCATCTCTATAGTAATAATATGTATTAACATTTTCATCATTCTTAGTGTGGGATATGAGGTTCATTATAATATGATTAATTTTTTTTTGGATACTTAAAAGTACTTGGCATTTTTTTTAAAGAAATCATAATTACATGAAAAATGCTGATTAATTTTATCGTTTGTTATCTTGGCACTGTTTGAAAGTAGCTGACTGGAATGTGAAATTTTAGGTAACCTCACCAAATGTTTCTAATCTGAACAGCAAGATAGAGATCTGTAAGTATTCACTTTATATCTGTCCCTAACTTTTAACCATTGACCAGGGGGAAGTTTGCAAGTCACCAGCTGTCAAAAAAAGGGGGCTTTGAACCAAATAACAGAATTGACTCCCACTTATGACATCTTGAAGTGTGGAGTGTGTTCAGTGGCATTCTATAAATCAAAGAAAGAAAACTTCAACATTAAGGAAGTTTGGAGAGAGGAATGGAGGGAGTGTCCTCCCAGGAGTAGAGACTTGGTGGGGGACCCCACTGAGCCACTGCCTGGATTATGCCCCATAACCAGAAAGCAATGGACACAGGTGAACAGACTGAGGTCAGGCCATGGCAGAACAGTGGCCAACCTGCACTGATGGGGTTATCGTGAATCCCCCTACATGCCCAGCATGTCAGGATTCCCCACAAGACACAGACCATCTCGTGTTGCACTGTCCGTTCACTGTGGTACTGGGGGGGGGGGGGATATGGTACAATCCATGAAGTGGGCGAGGAATTCATTGACTGGATCATGACTACGAATTTGGAGGTATGAGGAACACCATATGCAACTACTAGTGGCATTGCAGCATGAACACTGAGCCTTCCAGTTATAAGCCTGGCATTCTGACCACTAGATCACTGATCTCGAGTTATATGTTACCTTCTTAAATAACTCTTGTTTCAAGCTGCTGCACATCCCAAAACATCTCATCACACATGCCAGAGAACCAGTCTCTTTATCAAGAAAGAGGAAAGTATTCTTTCCTGCGTAGTCATATCTGTGTCGTGACAAAAGAGTTAATGATTTATCTAGTTTATTAGCAAAACATTACACTCCCGAGGATGATGCAATAGTATACATCACCATGCAGACAGACCTGCTCTGGCCCTGATCATGTTTAGTATCCTACGGGCAAAATTTCTCAGCCAAGTACATCCACTTAGTGTAAAACATCCTAATTACGGAATTTTTTTAAAGATAAATTAACTTTATGTGTGTGTTATCAGTGAAGTATGACATATCTAGTACCTTAATTCTGACTTCTAAATATCTTAAATAAAAATTATAATAATTACACTTGACTTACTTATTTCACAATGTAACAGTTGTAGTTTATGAAGAAGACATTTTAAATAGCACCATGACCATAGTCTGTGATATTGAAGCTGGCCTGATGAGCTCTGGTGTTGGGTGAATGGTAGCAGTAGACTTTTGTCTGTAACGTCGAAGCCAGCCAGATGAGCTCTGGTATTGGGTGAAAGGTAGCAGTAGCACCTCGACCATAGTCTGTGACATCGAAGCCAGCATGATGAGCCCTGGTATTGGGAAAAAGGTAGCAGTAGTGCCTCAATTTTTGTCTGTGACATCAAAGCCAGCCTGATGAAAGGTAGTAGTAGTGCCTCAACATTTGACAGTGTCATTGAAGCCAGCCAGATGAGCTCTAGTATTGGATGAAAGGTAGCAATAACACCTCGACCATAGTCTGTGACATCGAAACCAGCCTGATGAGCTCTGGTATTGGGTAAAAGGTAAAGTAGCACCTCGACCATAGTCTGTGATATTGAAGCTGGCTTGATGAGCTCTAGTATTAGGTGAATGATAGCAGTAGCACATCGACCATTGTTTGTGACATTGAAGCCAGCCGGATGAGCTCTGGTATTGGGTAAAAGGTAAAGTAGCACCTCGACCATTGTTTGTGACAATGAAGCCCGTCTGAGGAGCTCTGGTATTGGTAAAAGGTAGCAGTAGTGCCTCAACATTTGTCTGTGATATTTAAGCCGGCCTGATGAGCCCTGCTAGTGAGTGGAAAGTAGAAGTAGCACCTCGACCTTTGTCTGTGATATTGAAGCTGGCCTGATGAGTCCTGTTATTGGGTGAAAGGTAGCAATAGCACCTGGACCATTGTGTGTGACATCAAAGTCGGCCTGATGATCTCTGGTATTGGGTGAAAGGTAGCAGTAGCTCCTGGACCATTGTATATGATATTGAAGCTGTTGTGATGAACCCTGGTATTGGGTGAAAGGTAGGAGTAACACTTGGACCATTGTGTGTGATATCAAAGTCGGCCTGATGAGTCCTAGTATTGGGTGAAAGGTAGCAGTAGCACTTGGACCACTGTGTGTGATATCAAAGCCGGCCTGATGAGTCCTAGTATTGGGTGAAAGGTAGCAGTAGCACTTGGACCATTGTGTGTGATATCAAAGTCGGCCTGATGAGTCCTAGTATTGGATGAAAGGTAGCAGTAGCACTTGGACCATTGTCTGTGACATCAAAGCCGGCCTGACGAGTCCTAGTATTGGGTGAAAGGTCTTGTCATCCCTGGATGTGGCGGGTGTAGTGTGGTATACATTTTATTAGAAAAATTTCCATTTTTCTCTCATACATTCCATAAACAGCATATTTCAACAGACGCCTGTTGATTAAAGTATCTGCATGAAACATTCAAAGCTAAAGTATTGTACTTGTCTGAAATGAAGAGTTATTAACACTTGTGAATGAATGATTTTTTTTGTTTCTACATAGAAATATTTGACAGGTAGTGTTACGTAATAGTAACAGTTAGCTCTCGATACATTAGAGGGGAAAACGTGGTTTTACCATATGCTTTCAATAATGAAGGGTATTTTCAATTTCATCTGTCAAAATTTCATGATTTATTTAATCAGAGCTGAACTATTTTGTAAGCATGCAGTTTACGAAACATTTTCTTTACATTTGTGCAGTTAAAACTCACCACATTATAAACGAAATGCGCAGCCTGAGGCAGAAAATAGCATCCACTTGGAATTGCTGTGAAGTACTTTTGGTCTTTTATAAATTGTATTTGAAAAGAAGTCTAATGGAAGTGAGCTGTCGATGTTAATGGATTCTTCTGGTCAAAGTCTAAAGGTTGGTATTTATACAGTTGATAGCCTGGGTTTATTATTTCAACCATTAGATACAGACTCTGTTATTGTAGCAACCAGACAATGGGTTGAAGGGTTTTGTTTACGAGAAAGTTGGCCAGGTGGTTAGGGCGCTCGATTCGCAATCTGAGGGTCGCGGGTTCAAATCCCTGTCCACCATACATGCTCGCACTATCTCCAAAAATCATTCGTACACGCATGGACACAACCCAGACCTGTGTAAAATTAATAGTCTTGCAGGCCACAAAAAATCCATTATGGTGCTCAAAGATATACTGTAGGGGATATGACGGGATTTTTTTTTCACCTGAAATAGCCTACTTTTACCAATCCTCGACAAATATTGAAATATTCTGTTTTATAGTTTTATTATTATGTTACCCTTTATAACCAATAAATAAATAAAAATAGTTTCCAGTACCTCCAACAAAATATTTATTCAAGAGTAATTCCTTTTTATAGATATATTGTATAACACTGTGGTATGGAGGCATACCTTGCTTTTTCCACCATATTTTAATATAGAAATTTTAAAAATATGTCACTTATCCTAAATCGTTGCAATTTTCACATAACACACGGTACAGAAAACGCCTTCATTCCATCTGTTTTTATTGCTTTGTTTTCTGGAGGTACTTTTTTGCTTGACGTAGGGGGTGTTGCTGCAAATTGTGCAATAATGTAAAGAGTGAAGTCTTTCACTGACAGGCCACATGATATCTTGAGGATAGAGCCTCACCTATGTTTAATGAGAATCACCAGTCTCGTGTTAGAGCCAGTCACTATGGGTAAATCCCATATTTACCGTTAACTAAGAAATGTTAGATTTAATTATTCTATAGGGGATCTGAGTGAAGTTGGATGATGGAAAGACATCTCAACGGTAGGGGATCAATTAATTGATGCATGAAGCCAGTGCCCAATACAAATATAAATACTTTGCTTTTGTGTTTGCAAATATTATTTTAATTTTGTTCACTCTCTTTAAATCTTAGCTTAAACTCGATCAGTTTAGTTAAACTCACCATTATTTCCACCGATCCTCCCATTATGAAGTGGCCAAATGGTTAGGGTGCTCGACTCGCAATCTGAGGGTCGCGAGTTCGAATCACTGTCCCACCAAACATGCTCGCCTTTTCAGCTTTGGGGAGGGGCGTTATAATGTTACGGTCAATCCCACTGTTC